ATTTGCCCCCTTTGCCCCCCCCCCCCCGTCTGGGCGGCCCTGATGAGACGGACCACTTTTCTAAATTTTTGAGCACGAGTTTGACCCCCATTAGCAAACTTCAAAATATGTCCCTTTCGTTTCACTAAATTTATCCCGCATTGCCCATTCCAGCTATTCTTTTATATTTTTTAATCTTAGCTCGGTATTTACTCTATACCGGACCACCAATGCAATGGCATTAATAATATTGTAGATTGAATTTCTTGCTATTTATTTTAATCAAATGTTTCTGTCTAATTTAGCTCCACTAAGCGCGTACGGTTGGTATGATGGTATTCACGAGAATGTGAAATGCCGCAAACAATTGTGTGATTGTGACGCTGCGGCTGCAAAATGCATCAAAAGAGCTGGCTACAACGACCGTTTTTATGACTATGACCAGAGTAAATGCTAGATAGAGTATGCATGATGAAGTATAGTACATATATCTTGTAGTAGTAAATACTTGTCGTTGCAAATACTTGCAGTGTAATGCTTGTAGTAATAATATATAATTGTTTGACAAGATTATGTAATCATTCGAATGTATTTTTTAGCTATTATGTTTTCGTATTCAAGGCATATGCATTCAACATCAGGTTGTCTAGTCACCCAGACAAAGTGCTTCAATGACATAATATTGATCTCGCCCGGGCGATATCCGTATCCCATCTTCGCTTTCTTGTAGCACGGCTGGCAAATGCAGTTAGCGTGAAGCCACATGCTTGCTGCAAGTTGCGGATTTTACCGGCCTGCTGAAAATTGTTAACAAGTTTTAGCAGGCTTGTTGACGTCATCAACTTGCACAAGCCTGTTGAAATCAGGCATGCTGCAAGTTGATATTTGCAGATTTGATGCAAGTTGATGAAACAAGTTGCATCAAGTCTGTAAATGCCAACTTGCAGCATGCCTCATGGAACAAATTGTAGGAAGTCTGATGAACGCATCAATGCTGAGGAAAGTTGAGAAAATTAGGCTTGCTGCAAGTGGTCATTTGTAGACTTGATGCAAGTTGTTTCATCAACTTGCATCAAGTCTGTGGATATCGAGTTTTGACAAGTCTGATGGAACAACTTGCAGCACGTCTGATGAACGCATCAATGCTGATGCTTGTTGAGAAAATCAGGCTTGCTGCAAGTTGTCATTTGCAGACTTAATGAAAGTTGTTACATCAACTTGCATCAAGTCTGTGGATATCAAGTTTTGACAAGTCTGATGGAACAACTTGCAGCACGTCTGATGAACGCATCAATGTTGATGCAAGTTGAGAAAATCAGGCTTGCTGCAAGTTGTTATCGCAGGCTGGCTGCTATCCTGTGTACAGCCGTTACTCTCGACGAAACGCGCGAGAGAACGTCTGTGAGTTGGATGCATAATCCTTGTTCAGGTCACGTGGATAGTTCCCAGATTTGGAAACCGGCCTCTGATTGGACAGTACTTTATTTGAATAATTTATGACAAACGAAGCCATTTCATTGATCAATTGATAATTACCATGCGTTTAAAATAACAACACAAAAATTTTACATTCAGAGATTTCCAGATCAAGAATCAAGATTTCCTTCGGGGCATAAAAAGGTTTGAAAGACTTGAAATATATACTCTGTTGAGTTTAATTTTGTGCTGTATCGAAGTTTAAGAAATTCAAGATAAAATTCTAGTGTTTGGACACTCAGCGAAAAATGTTGACAAATATATAAAATACAACAAAATATGAGACGGAAATTGACAATTTATAATTGACAATTTAATAAATTGACAATCTGTTTATATGTCCCGAACCCTCGCGATAAAGCATTTTCTTTACATGCATGTAATGTGTTTAACTTCGTCTTACTTGGCCAGTTAATTTTAATTACTTTAAAATGCACCTTTTGAATAACCAGTTGTGTTTATATTTAATATTTTGTCTTTGTAAGGCCAATGAAAATTGATATCATGTTTCTCGTCCACAATTTTCAAAAATTTGGAGCGGGATTTTTTCATTTTTTATTTTTCATAATTTTTTGTATTTGAATTCTGCTTGTCAATAATTTCCTTGACCCAGTAAAAACCCCCATAAAAATCTGAAGTATTAAAAATTGGTGTATAATTCATTTTAATTTAATACGTCCTACACTACAGTCTACAGACTACAGTATATTTCTTTACATACCAGGGCTGACATGAAAAATAGGGGCATTCTGGCGAGTAATATCTTTAGAAAGATACAATTTGAGTTGCGCTTGCGGAATGCAGCAATAAGACTTTGATCTTGAGATGAATTTGGTGTTTTTTAAGCCTATTTTTCAAAAGTAATGAATAATGAAAAATTTTCGTGCGGCACATAAATCCCATGCGGGCGGGGACGAGAAACATGATATCAATTTTCATTGGCCTAAACAAATATACGCCATATGTACGCCAAGAACTGAGCTTGTACACCGTACTTGCCAGAAATGATCATCGTTCGCATTGTTCGCATTCAAAACAAATCTCTTCATCGAGAAATATATGCAATATATTTCTGGTGTATCGTTTTTCAGATTGTAATTCAAGTCTTTCAAACTTTAATTTGTATGCCCCGAAGGAAATCTTGATTCTTGATCTGGAAATCTCTGAATGTAAAATTTTTATGTTGTTACTTTAAACGCATGGTAATTATCAATTGATCAATGTACACTCAACTATCCACGTGACTGCGACCTGAACAATGATTATGCATCCAACTCGCAGACATTCTCTCGCACGCTCAGTGAACTCTATATATAGATATCTGGAATGATAACAGCGAGCGAAAAGTGAAGCCGACAAAAAAATCACGACATAAGTATTCGTCATTGTCTTCGTCATCAACTGTTCAAGAACTTTCTTACAGTATTAAAAATCACTTACATATAAAATTTGTAATTGTTTTGAAAGTTTTTATCACAGTTTTTATATCTTTATTCACTTTTAACCTGAAGATGGAGTTATACTCCGAAACGTAGTTATTAAAATAATTTTTTACTAAGCCCATATGGTCTAATTTATATTCAAACACACGTACATATTCATTTACATTTTGCTGGCAGGCAAATTCCGATCACACATAAATTCTTTAAAAAGTAACGTACCAGTGTATTGACTAAAAACTATAAAACTGGTAAACTAAAAACAATTCAAACAATCGCGAAAAATGGCAACGGCAAAGTCACAGTTGCAAGTCAATTTACCTACCTGTGAAATGAAATTTTCTCGCAAGAATATCTCTTTCCTTGTGCATCCAGAACGACAGTACGACACAATATATTTGAAAAAGTGATTCTTTTCTCCACACGGGAAAGTTTTCCTCGACTTTTTTCCGACAGCGAACTCAATGCAGTAAATTTTAGGAGAAAAACTGTTTGCTCCTACAATGTATTGCATTGAGTTGGCCATGTTTTTAATTTTTTTTTCGTGATTGCGTTCAAATTTATACTGGCCGTGCAACGGTTTGCAGAGGGGGAATGAAACTGACGTCCAATCCGCGTAAGCCTGACGTTTGAGGGACTGAGACTGACGTCCAATCCGCGTGAAAGACTGGTATCGAGGCTTCATTTTTTTCGCAATCAAATGACTGAATGTTATCGTTCCAGATATATATATATATAGAGTTCACTGCGCACGCTTCGTCGAGAGTAATGGCTGTACCAGCTGGCTAGCTTGCTGCAAGTTGTTCAATTTGCAGCAAGCTTGTGGATAACAAGTCTTGACAAGTCTGATAAAACAACTTGCAGCAAGTCTGTTAAAATCAGGCTTGTTGCAACTTGACATTTGCTGACATGCTGCAAGTTGATAACAAATTCATTTGACTTGTTCATATTTTACAGACTTTGTATATTGTTTGGTTAATTCGGCCGTGAAAAGCAGTTTCTTCAATTATTTTATCGCTCTATGCATGAATATTTAACAATGGAGATGTTTATATTTTAAATGAAAAGGATTATTTGGCCGTAGTTAGCCGCACGTCTATACAGCTATTTATGATGAATAATTCAGATGAGTTGAAATGGACAGAAAATTCTCAGAAGTCGCAAATGAAATAATTAAACATTTTATAAAAATGAAAATTAGGAACAACTTGCTGACGTGTGCTATCACTATATTTCTGGAACTTAATTTGATTGGACAAAGGCGTATGCACACATCATCATTCCTCGTTGCAATTGGACGAACTATTATACAAACGTATCAATCATGCTCGTAATCAGGTTTGGTTGTTTTCGAGTCAAGCAAAGTTTTAACAACTACGACACAGAATAAGCTAGTCATACAGAAGCCCGACTTCTTGGTTTTTCCAATGGTTTTCCAATGATTTAGGCGTAACCGTAAAAATGCTGACGCCATTCGACTTGAGTAACCGCTGCCACGCCATGATTCATGATCAAAAGCTTACGCCATGGTCAAATCCCAGTGCGTGTTTGAGAGTGATCCCCCCTTGGCGTCCGCCGTTTTGAATATTATCAAGGGGGGTGAATGCTTTTCAAACGCGCACTGGATAGGATGGCATTATGTGTGTCTTTATTCTGTGACTGCGAAATGCGAACTACCTCAAACAAAATCAAACACGTTCACAAGGAAGCGAAGAAAGCTCAAAGCTGGTTTGATTTGTAAAGAAAGTGGCAATGAGAATAGAATATCTAGAGCTAAAGAAATGAAAAATACATAAATCTTCATCGTTGATATGAATATGAAATTCGTTACACAATTTCTTTCCAATTTCAAGTGAAATCTGCGAACGAGGAAAACGCCTTATTTCAGCTTTGTGTATGTACTATTTTGAAGAAAAATATGCAAGTAGGTGGTCATATATTTCGGTCGCACTTAAAGACCTTTTAATTTTGAGAATTGTTTACGATAAGAACCTTTCTTTGTCGTATTTTTCGGCTGTTTTGCTCAAAAATTATCTCGCAAGTTTGTTATATAAACGTCTTGTTATTTTACCGGAAACACTACAACCGAAATATGGCAACCTGTTTGGCCGTTTTTTGTTCAAAATAGTGGATACACATAAGGCGCTTTCCTCACTCAGCCTTTTGACAACTTGCATCAAGCTTGTGGATGACAACTTGCATCAAGTCTGCAGTTCACAAATTGCATCAACTCTGCAGTTTACAAATTGCATCTAGCCTCACCAAGCCTGCAGTTCACAACTTTCACCAAGTCTGCAGTTCACAATTTTCATCAACTGTCTGCAGTTCACAACTTGCATCAAGCCTGCAGTTCACAACTTGCATCAAGCCTGCAGTTCACAACTTGCAGCAAGCCTGCAGTTCACAACTTGCATCAAGTCTACAGGTCACAACTTGCAGCAAGTCTGCAGTTCACAACTTGCAGCAAGTCTGCAGTTCACAACTTGCAGCAAGTCTGTTGACAACTTGCAAACGCGTTTCTGGTTGTGTACCTCACCAAATCAAATGAAATCAATCTTTATTTATCCATCTTGGAAATATCATATCCTTGCTATCTATATGTGTCTTCAATAAAATTATGAAAGAAATGTTCTTCTATCAAATATTCAAGATCTTTTGTATTTCAACTTTCTTAAATTAAGACGTCTGATTTCAAAACTGGCACTGGATAGTGCATCCGCTTTACACTGTGCTATATACCGACTGGAGCACATGGTACTGTGATGCTACTGACATTATGGAAAAGGTTCTTACAACTTCTGGTTATCGGTGGAGGGATATATAAACATTTTCTGAATTATCTTTTATATTACAATCCTGGTAAAAAATGTTGGCGCACTTGACACTGACAGTGCGAAATTTTGACTCCCACTTCAATAACAAGCATAGCAAGCCCCCTTTCCCCCGTTAAATGTTGTGTGTAGTGTGTTAGACATCCAAGGTGCTACACAACATTGATTAGGGGGATACCTAGAGGGTGTTTGGACATGAAATTGTGCATAAAATGGGCAAGTATGTATATGGTAACCAGAAATGAAGTAAAGGTTATGCTATTTAGACTAAGTGCGCCAAGGACTTTTGACCAGGATTGATCCTGGTGAAAAATATTTGCGCACTTGAGACTGAGAGTGCGAAATTCACTCCCACTTCAATAACAAGCGTAGCAAACCCCCTTTCCCCGTTCAATGTTGTGTGTAGTGTGTTAGACGTCCAACGTATTACACAACATTGATTAGGGGGATAGGGGGTATCTGAACATGAAATTTTGCATTGAAAACAGTGGGCAAGTACAGCATGTATATGGTAATCAGAAGTGATGTAAAGGTTATGCTATTTCGACTAAGTGCGCGAAGGATTTTTGACCAGGATTGTAGGAACGTACATTTGCTTGATATTAGAGAGGTTGAGAGCCTATTTTTCCATCAGGAAGAGTTTTTCAACTTTTAGCATTTTTTGAGTTCCCAATTTATTGCCTTCACTCCTGGTATGTTTGGCGCGAAACGTGAAAGGTCCGTAACGTGTGCGAGAGGTCCATATCACACGACCAATCAGAAGACTCCAATTGCGTTACAGAAGAGTATCCATTTTTATTTTTCAGAAAAAAATAAAAATGGATACACTATGTGGTTCAACAATATCGAACATGACTAGGCGAGACTATACCTTTCCGCTCGACTGATAACGCTCACCTAACTTTGATAATCCTTTTTATCACAAAAACTCAATACCACATTCAATGACAGTTTGTTGATATTGACTTACTGTATGTCTTACAGCGAACCGTCAACAGACAAAGTTTCCCTGCTTTGTTATAACCACTGGTGGTTATAAAATCGCCCTATGTAAAGGAATCCAAGATGGTGTCGGATTCCGGATCCTGATCCGTGGATTCCGGATTCTGACCCGCGGATTCCGGATTCCTTAATTCTTAATAATAGTCAGTGGATTCCTTGACTAATAGTTACTTTTTATAAAGATTTCAATAACTAACCTGTATAACATCCGGTCAAAATAAGGCTTTATTATAATTTGTAAGAATAGAGGACCTAAAACTGCTAAAGACTGCTGTAAACATGCATGCGGTAGTCTTATACATGTACATCAGTAACCTTTAAACACTTTTAAAAAACAAAATATGACATTAAAGCTTATTACATCAACATAATAACAAGAAACACTAAATGTCAATATTACAAAGCATTATTCATCATTTGGTAAGTTCTGTTACCTAACGTAGTATAAAACGACTAGTCCTTCTTCCTAACGAGCTCATTCCTTCAAGTCTTAATTAATGGTCATGTTTTTTGTGTTTCAGCAGATACTCTTTCCTGCTCCTCCTCTTCTTCATCTTCACTTTCATCATCCCCGTTAGCAAGCCTACTCAACCGGATGGCTTCATTGGGAGACAAAATAACATTTCAACTGTCTTCAAGTAAGAAATTGTCCACCTTTGGTAAGATGCAGTTC